GTGTGTGATGAAGGTGTGTGATGAAGGTGTGTGATGAAGGTGTGTGATGAAGGTGTGTGATGAAGGTGGTGATGAAGGTGAGTGATGAAGGTGTGTGATGAAGGTGTGTGATGAAGGTGTGTGATGAAGGTGTGTGATGAAGGTGTGTGTGATGAAGGTGGTGTGTGATGAAGGGTGTGTGATGAAGGTGTGTGTGATGAAGGTGTGTGATGAAGGTGTGTGATGAAGGTGTGTGTGATGAAGGTGTGTGATGAAGGTGTGTGTGATGAAGGTGTGTGTAACAATGGTGTTATATGGGTGTTAAATTGCTGTTACTTGGGTGTAATATGGGTCAAGTAACAGTGTAATATGGATGAGTATAACAAGGGTGTAACATGGTTGGAATAGCGGAGTAATATGGGTATATTACGGGTTTAATAAGTATAATAGGGGTGTAATAGAGGTGTATTAATGTGTAATATGGGTGTAATGTAGAAATGTCATAAATCTATAAATTTTCCCAACCTAACAGGTAAATACCCATTAAAGGGTTTAATGCCTGTTGGTTTTATCGCCTAATTCGAGGAGGCAGCGCAGTGTTGAAGAGGTGACATTGACGACACCACCGCTTTGATTTTGATGAGACATTATATATCTTGGCACAACGTAAAAACATAACACTGATTGGCTTGATGAAGGTCCTATAATGAAAGGCTAATCTCAGATGTTTAAAAGCTTTATTAAATCCTCTGAGTCTCGCTGACACAGCACGTGCCTTATCATCCGCCGTGGTTACAAATCACTCTGATTGGACTAATGCGGAGACTGATTACATTTCTTGTTTTTTAACATCATACCATGTCAGACCCACTGATCTGATTTCCACCAAATTCTTGACAACTGATTCGTGCAGTTTGCTGGCATTTAACAATGGTAACGCTCATGTGCTAAATGTAGAGACTATAATAAATGGCCCTATTTTTAAGATTTGAGAGGCCATAAATGCTGCCGCAGCTGGTTTGGATTTTAAAGATATGTTAAAGGATGATACAACTTTTTTCCTTAATGTGCCCCAGGGGTCATTATATTATTCATGAGGTATAGCATGTTTACTTACATTTAAGTTCAGACTTTAACTGAACATTTTAATTATCTATTCATAACCCAGTCATTTATCAACTATTTAGGAGGTTTTGGAAGTGGAAAGCGGGCATCCCAAGGGGCCTCCAAACAGATTCAGGGGATGCAAGTGCAAAAATAAAACATTCGTTTTTAGAGGATCACATAGAATGGCCTAAATCTAAATGATTTGGTTGACATAGTTCAGAGAAACAGCAGTTTATAGGATAACATTTTGCAATCATAAATGCCTTAGGATGAACTTGTTTCTATATATTTGGTGTGTGAAGTTGTCAAACAGCAATATTTACTGTCTAGGCTCAATTGTTGAGTGTCTATTGGATCAAATATCATGATCATAATCCCATAGGCATCCAGGAGACAAAACTCTGCAAGAAAACAAAGTGAGGGGGTGCTATTTGTCCAAGTTTTGTCTGATGGGACTTAAACTTCTGATCTAATCTTTGAATTATTATTTTCTTCATTGCACTTTTTTCCAGGTATACACCAGCAGCGCGGCTGGCGGAGGTGGTTTATGACTCCACCCTGGTGACCTTCACTTACGATGAGTCCTCCGGCACTGTCAAGACCATTCATCTCACCCATAACGGCTTCATCAGTTCAATACGCTACAGACAGACCGGTACGTATACACAAGCACTCAAGACACATCCAGCTTAAAGGTGGTCACAAATCTGAATTATTTACAATGTGCAATGAGTCATAATTTAAAAGGATCTATCGCGTGAGGGGCAGCTCAAAGCATGGGCACTCGTACAGATTTGTCTGGAGGCATCAAACTTTGCAGTCTGGTTTTGAGTCAGCCGTAGTGCTGTTTCTTCTGAGACTGACGGAGCAGCAGTTAGAGGTGTGAATAGGGCCGAGCATATGAGAGTGGAAGAGACTGTGGTCTACCGCAGATGCAAATACGAGACCACCCCCCACGCTCACAGCAGCCGACTGCTTCCCCACCTCCGCAAACCAGGCTGCCTGATCAAAGTGAACGAGTGGATGTAAGAATATACACTAATATGCAGAGAGCTGGGTTTGAATATATGTGTTGCTTGTTGTACTCACACATAGGGCTGGAAATCTTACCTGAAGCCATCGATTATAACCTTAATAACGTGACAATTCACTTCTGATTCGAAAAACTTGCTAGAAAAACATTGCACTTCATAAATTGCAGTGTTATTACCTCAGAAATTGTATTATCACCAATCGGCCCCTTTAGCTACAAATATGTTCGCACAGCTTCGTTGTTAATACAGTTCAACGATTCCCTCGAGTTACGGAGTCTCCCCAGGGTCATTGAGAGTTCTCATCTCTACTCCCGGTTCACTTCACGAGACTCCCTGATTGGCTCTCCTCGATCAGGTGTCACGTATCTGCGAGGCACAGCTGTATGTGTGTGCGTGTGTTTATGGCTTTGCCCCTAACTGTGAATAGACTCTCACCTTCCTTTTAACTGATCTCATTTCAGCAGAACAAACGGGAGCCTGGGAGAGAGGAGAGATAGTGGTAATTGTCCCTTGAGAGGAGACAAGGAGGGGCGGGGACCAAAAAGGAAGTAGAAACAGGGTTTATAGAGAGGTAGGCGAGGGAGAAAAAGGAACAGAAAATAAGAAGGAAACTTGACAGCTACAGAAGCGAGACGAGCAGACTGTGAGAGAGTTCCCTAGGGCGGCAGAAAAAGACTGCACCTCTCTCTCAGAGCTTCCGCCATTTCCCCATTAGCGCAGGTTTAGAAGCAACATTCCACGGACGATAAAAATAGAAGATGTAATGCTGATCCAGCTCTCTACAGTCGCCAAAGCTAGACACTTAGTCATCTTAACTGCAATTAGAGTCATCTCCAATAGCAAGGTAATGGTGTTTCATTAGCAGGCCGCTTTTTTTCTCCAAATGGAGCTTTGGGAGCGAGCCGCGGAGGTGACGAATGGTGTTGTTAAAGTTGATGTTCTGACATTAAGGAGCACATTGGCACATCATGGCTATTGTCTTTAGATTTCATTATCCCCCCATATTAAAGGTCAGCACTGGAAATGCCAGAGGTGTGGGGATAGTTAAGATTGAATGGATTGCACTGCGTGTGTCTGTGTTAATGATGTTGAATTAGTCCTTGATTTGAATTAATTAGAAAGGCTTTTACAGGGAGGCATGATGGCCAGCTGTGAGGGCCGTGTGTGCAAATGCATATGTGGTGTGTGAACAGTTCAGGCACATGCTAATCTGAAAGCTTAAAGGGTAAATCTCTCTTATGGTTTCTTCCGTAGGTCCCTTAACAAGTCGACAGATCTTCCGCTTTAGCGAGGAAGGCTTGGTCAACGCCAGGTTTGACTACAGCTACAACAACTTCAGAGTGACGAGCATGCAGGCAGTCATCAATGAGACCCCCCTCCCCATCGATCTGTACCGCTACGTGGACGTGTCAGGTCGGGTGGAACAGTTTGGCAAATTCAGTGTCATCTTTTACGACCTCAACCAGGTAGGCAGAAAACAGTCAACTAAACTATTGCACACATGAAGTAGGATACATTTGGTAGTATTTCCACAAATGTGGCTTTTGATGTTGTCTTAAGGATGCATTAATCAATATTTTTTATTAGGTATGGATCAAATTACTTTGTGATATAAAAGTGAAAAAAATACAGAAAATGATCCCCGCAGTTTATCGTCTCATTGTTTCGGGTTTTATGGCCCACAACTTTACTCTTTTTGTTCACACTGACAGCTGTCATTAACTGCTTTAAACTCTAATGCTAACGCGGTAGCTTAGCTCACAAGCATTAAACAGCAGACAGATGATGTTAGCAACTAACTGGTGAAAATAAAAGACAGTTACAGCTTTTAGGCCTAAACAACAGGAGCGTGACAAATGAAGGACACGAAAAAAATTAAAATGCTCTCCTGCGAATAGGACTTTTATTGTGAAAGGTAAGATTATAATGACTACAGTAAATACGGTATGCACTGCTTTTGGCAAGGTTGTCCTCACAAAAATAATGACACAACTGGTGCAGGCAACGTGATTTGGCAACTTTATTCTCAGTACAATTCTCAAAATATCCAATAAATGTTTGTTTTTTTCGGTATATAATCTAATACGCTGTGTAAAGGTGCTAATGATAAAAACTATTCTATAGAAATATATATTGGCATGAGAATTTTATACACTAAAAAACAATTCACCCTATTGTGTAAAGGCTTTAAAGGTGTTTCTCTCAAAGGGTGGTGGCAAGACAGAGCTAAAAAGAGTGTATATTGGACTTGCGTTTGTCCAGCACCCCACAACATGAAATATATACTTGAGTTACTTCATGAGTGCTAGATATGCATTGGAAACTGTTTGCTAACACGTTCACCATAATACTTTATAAGGCTTATGTTGTATTTACACGTTGGCCAAAAATATATTTTATTACAGCTTTAAAACAACACATTGTCTACATGTGTGCTCAGGTGGCTAACGCATCTCATCTGCAATCCTCTAGGTGATCACCACCCATCTGATGAAGCACACCAAGGTCTTCAACTCCTACGGCCAGGTGGTGGAGGTCCAGTACGAGATCCTTAAATCCATCGCCTACTGGATGACCATCCAGTATGACTCTGCGGGCCGCACCACCACCTGTGACATCAGGGTTGGCGTGGACAACAACGTGACGCGCTACACCTACGAGTACGACGCCGACAGCCAGCTGCAGAGTGCCTCTGTTAACGAGCGGCCTCAGTGGCGCTACAGCTACGACCTCAATGGGAACATCAACCTGCTCAGCCACGGAACCAGTGCCAGGTGCGTCACATACTGGATATTATACAGGAATAAATGTGTCATTACTGTGTGAAAACTAAGAAGATAGAAATCCATTTTATCTCAATAATTATTAGATGGATTGCCACAAAATTCTCACGGTGGCCAGACGATGGCTTCTAACTACTGTAGTGATCAGCCTTAGCTGTATGATGTGATGATTAGCGCATGCTAATAGCTAAAATAAGATTGTGAACACTATGGCTGCTAAAATGCATGCACTACAGCATGCTTAGATTAGCACTTTGCTTTGCTTTAGGTTCACCAATTTGGGTTTTTCAATGGTTGTTGGGTTTCGTAGATAAATACAAACAATTTAAAAATAACAAATTAGCAAAGAAAATTCCTGAACTTAAAATGATTACTATTTGTACTTTCTGTGCCGTCTCTCTCTTGCCTAACTAGATCTGCATTCTGTCTGCAGTGCACCTATTTTAAAATGAAAATAATTATATATAGGCCTACTATATTATATAAATAGTCTTAAAAATAATGTATGAACTAAACTAGGATTGAATACAAAATAAATAGTTTGAGTGCATTTATCAGCAGGTAGCAGCATCTCCTTGTTTCTCCGAGTCAATGAAAATGCGTAAACCTACTTGAGTAATGGCCTTCTCCGGTGTTGGCTCATGAAATACTATAATGACTAAATAATCTGCATCATAACCTCAGATGATTATATAAAAATGGCGCCTGATTTATTGGTGGGCCAATAGGTTAACTACAAAGTGCAGCCTCGCTAAGCTGCTAGCATGACGGTATGTTGATGTATTTATGTTGGACATATTCCAACTGCATTAATACCTCTACCTGTTGGGTTTACCTCCAGACTGACCCCGCTGCGCTACGACCAGAGGGATCGTATCACACACCTCGGAGAGTTACAGTACAGCGTGGACGACGACGGGTTCCTCCGCCAGCGAGCCAACGATCTGTTTGACTACAACTCCAACGGCCTGCTGACGCGCGTCTTCAACCGACTGACGGAGCGCACCGCGTGGTACCGCTACGACGGGCTGGGGCGCCGCGTGGCCACCAAGAGCAGCGGCGGCGAGCAGCTGCAGTTCTTCTACGCCGACCTGTCGCACCCAACCAGGGTGAGCCACCTGTACAACCACAGCAGCAACCTGATCACCTCGCTGTACTACGACCTGCAGGGCCACCTCATCGCCATGGAGCTGAGCAGCGGCGAGGAGTACTACGTGGCCTGCGACAGCGTGGGGACCCCCAGGGCGGTCTTCTCAAATAAGGGCCGCCTGGTGAAGGAGATCCTCTACACCCCGTACGGAGAGGTCTACCAGGACACCAACCAGGACTTCCAGCTGGTCATCGGCTTCCACGGCGGATTGTACGATCCTCTCACACGGCTCGTCCATCTGGGGAGGCGAGACTACGACACGCTAGCAGGGCGATGGACTTCGCCCAATCACGAGCTGTGGGGGGAGCTGAGCAAAGAGCCGAAGCCATGCAACGTGTACGCCTTTAAGAACAACTGCCCAGTCGGCAAAGTGGAGGAGGTGACTGAGTTTACTACAGGTGAGTTTCACACATTGAGACACACATTCAGCCTGCCAGCTCTCACACAGATATAGGCAGGAAGGTATTTCTGTTAGCAGCACACACACACACACACACACACACACACAANAACACACACACACACACACACACACACACACACACACACACACACACACACACACACACACACACACACACACACACACACACACAATCACACTCACCTACATGGAAACATCTGCCATCCAGACTGAGTGAACGGGGCACACAGCTAGCCACAGGTGAGTTGTTTGGCAGGAGGAAATTATGTGACAGACACACATTGTACTGGCAACAGAAAGGACAGCCATGCCTCTGATCAGCTTGTTTTTTGAACACAGGCGTGTTATGTTCTGTTCCCTCTGTCTGTCAAGAACACACTGTTTCCCTGAGAGACCAAATAGAAAACTCGCGATAGGGAAAGAGATGGAATAGGCGAGCAGGAGAATGAATATGGGATGTGGGTGGGGGCGTATGTCCTTCTGGTTAATAGAACATTCATTTGGCCTGTCACGTTTCCCTGCAGCAGGATTGTTTATTACTGGATGTGTTTGTCAGGGAAACACCAGCCCGACCATCCCCACCACATAATGCTCAGATATTGTGTGATTTCCTGTATGAGGTATTGTTTGCTTGGCCTTATGACTTTATGTTGGCTCCACAGTAAACACTATATTCTAACCCTCCCTGCAATTGTCTCTCTTTCTTTGTGTGTGTGTGTGTGTGTGTGTGTGTGTGTGTGTGTGTGTGTGTGTGTGTGTGTGTGTGTGTGTGTGTGTGTGTGTGTGTGTGTGTGTGTGTGTGTGTGTGTGTGTGTGTGTGTGTGTGTGTGTGTGTGTGTGTGTGTGTGTGTGTGTGTGTGTGTGTGTGTGTGTGTGTGTGTGTGCAGACATTGGTAGTTGGCTGCAGCTATTTGGTTTCCAGCTTCATAATGTTGTCCCAGGCTTTCCGAAGCCTGAAGTGGGCAGAATGGAACAAACATACGAACTGATGAAGACCCAGACCAAGACACAGGACTGGGACTCCAGCAAGGTGAGATCTAAAAGCTATTTCAAATGTGTAGAGTATGGTTATCCCTTGATGTATGCTAAATATATCTAAAAAGTAACATATATACACTTTTTTTTTCCAATATCAACATTAGTCAAACAACTACTTAGTCACCGGTCAGAAAATAAACACTTTTGATGATTCATACATTCTCATTTGAATCACTTTAGTCCTGGTTCAAGCTTCTTCAATGTGAAGATTTGCTGTTTTTTCTCTGTTTCACGTCATTTTTAATGTAGTATCTTGACGAATTGGACTGTTTAAAGAATTAAAGAATGTCGTCATATTAATTCATTATGAAAATGGTCTTTAGTCGCAACCATATGCATCACAACATGAGTGATTGATTTGAAAATCACATATAAATCAAACAAATAAATGTTCAGTGCAATTATCTATTCCATTATTTTTGCAATACACAGGATAACATCTGCAAATAGGAAAACAATCACTCAAATGAATTCCATGTGTTATTTTGTAAATGTATTACTTATTTGCTCTGCTTCAATAAAAAAGAAATTATTTTAACGACGCAACGTGATAATTTCATCACTGTATGAGTGTGTCCAAACCTCAAAGACGTTTATTTGAACTATTACCAGTTTGACAAGTGATCTCAGGAAAAATAATAACATTCATTTTAGTTCCATTACACTTAGCTTTACCACTTTCAGAGTCCCGTTGTACACCTTTTGTCACATGTTTTGACTTTTCAAAGTAAGAAAAGAGCAGGTGTTGCTCACAACGCTAATGATGGCTCTGTCAATGCCAGTGCGATTTTATACACCTGCTGTTCCTACTGTGACAAGTCAAGTGTCTGCTGTGAAAAAGTGCCATTGTGCATGTGTCCACTAACCCACTACAACGCAAATGCAGCAGAGCCATTATTAGTTTTCTTTTCCTGGTTAATGTCAAAAAACATGTGTTGTGAAATATTCTGTCATTGCACACATATATTGAAGCCCGGCGAGGCAATGACAACATTCTGGTGATCCTTTTTATTTTAGGTCTAATCAAAACAGTTTTTTTCTCTTGTGTTTAAGAAATAAAAGTTCACATGTTTACATGTTTTGCCAGGTGATTTATTATTTGCTTCTCCGATAATGATTAGTTCTTGTCCCAGAATTCTGACTTCTAACCCTGACATAAAATGTAGACTTTGTAAATGGAACACGATCATTTTCTTTTCATACCTGCCTCTCAGTGACCTTTATTTAGGTGCATGCAAGTCTCTGTAATATGTTGAGTTAACCTGTTGTCCTTGTTCCCAGGTGGTGTTGGGGATCCAGTGTGAGCTGCGCAGACAGCTGAGGAGCTTCATCTCCCTGCAGAGGCTGCCTCTGGTCTCGGAGCCCGTGGGCTCCGCCTGCCACCGACCCACCGCCCTCCCCCTCTCCCGCCCTCCCCCCTTCGGCTCGCGGCCCTCTCTCCTCGGCCCCAGCATCCGCTTTGCCGTCTCCCACGGCCGTGTCAGCGCTGAAGTCATCGGCGTCGCCAGCGAGGACAGCCGTCGCGTGGCGGCCATTTTAAACGGCGGCATCCACCTGAGCGGGCTGAGCTTCACCTTGCACGGCTGCGACACGCACCACTTCCTGCAGTCCCGGCCCATCGAGGAAGACCTCGCTCTGGGGCTGGGGGTCGGAGGGCGCGTCCTGGAGAGCGGGGTGAACGTGAGCGTGTCTCAGATGAGCGCCACGGTGAACGGCAGGACTCGACGATTCGCCGATATCACCCTCCAGCAGGGAGCGCTGTGCCTGTGCGTGCGCTATGGCGGGAGTGAGGAGGAAGAGAGGGCGCGTGTGAAGGAGGAGGCGAGGAAGAGAGCGGTGGTGGGGGCGTGGGAGCGGGAGAGGAAGAGGGTGGATTCAGGGGACGTGGGGAGCAGAGCATGGAGCGAAGCGGAGAAGCAGCAGCTGCTGTCTGCTGGACTGGTCCCGGGCTACGACGGCTACTACTCCCTGCCTATAGAGCAGCAGCCGGAGCTGTCCGACTGCCCCGCCAACATCCACTTTATGACACTAAGCGAGGTGGGGGGCAGGTAACAGAGACACGTGAGCAGCCCCCCACCCCACCAAAGACTGCCTGTTTCTACTCTACTCTGATTTGTTCTACTGTTTCTATACCGTATCAACAAAAAAAAAAGGAAGAAGACGACGACAAAGAAGAACAAGAAGAGAGATTGGGGGAAAAATGATTTCCAAATGCCTTTAATTGTGACAAAATGATGGTATTTTATTATTATCGTCCAGTTCTTCAATTTCTAACAGTGGCACAAGCAGTGTGGTTTGGCTGTGGCTTTGCTTTTTGTATCCGGGACTGACCGACTGACCGACTCACTGACGGACCGACGGACGGACTGACTGTCTGTCATCTTGCTGTTTCAACACTGTTCATCGTTTCTTGGACTCTGATTCACTGAACTGTAGAGATGAAGACTTTTTAGGATTTGCCAGTGAACAATCCTCTTCATGACTCCAAATCAAGAGCTCTCCGGTTGCCATTTGAGTTCCCACATGGTTTACCTCGGATATACTATCGTTTACATATTGTGTAAGAGAGGCCTTGTCAACTCTGACACTCCCCTTTAGAGAAGGGAAACCTCTCCCGGTTCTCCCGCCTCTAGTGTGCTCCAACAGTAGTTTGTATGAGTGTGTATACTAAAATCAAGAATGTACATAGCCAGTGCTTTCACACGGAAAAAAGTGCTCAACTGGAAATGCTGTTGTTCATAAGTAAGTGTCAGTATTGTTAATCAATAGAAAAACAGTTACATTTTTGCAAAGAATTATACATGGCTATAGTAAATATTCTCGCTGAAAAATCTGACTTTATTGGGTTACGATGCTGATTAAAGTTATTATGTGTGGATTACCAGATTGCATCCTGGGATTTGTCTCAGCATTGTTGCTTATTATCTCTTCCTCTGGCTGGTGGTCCCTCTCGCCTCCTCGCCACACATTTGTTGTGCGCGCTTTGTTCTGCTTTCTGGGACTTTGTAACTTTCAAATCTGTGCTGTCATTATCGCCCATCATTACAGCTCACACCGAGATGTGCATGAGAAACCTGCGTCTGTCGGAGGCAGAAGAAGAAGAAGAAGAAGAAGAAGAGGAAGCAACAGAGAAAGGGAAAAAGAAATGTGACAGCTGAAGCTCAGCGAGTGGGTGGTGAGTGCAGAAGGGGCAGGACCTGGAGTTGGCTGAGCCGTTCTCTACAGCTTGTCTCCTCTCATTAGGAAATGCCAATCAGACTGCATGTGAACCACTTCCAAAGCCGACAACAACACACAAAAAAGTTAAAGTTTTTTTTTCTTTCTTTTTTTTTCTCTTCTTAATCTAGCTACCACTAATCCACCTCCCCGTCCGTCTGCCTCTCCCCCTCCCCGCCGTCACTCCACCATCTGCCCACCATTAATTGTTTGTGTTTCTCTCCCTGGGCTGCGGATGACAAAGCCCCACAATGCATATGGTGTGAGTGCGAGCAGGTGATATACGTTCCTCAGTAGCACGCTGATCGGCTGCGATGTACCTCTCTTTCTAAACCATATGCTCCGCTAGATACTGTCCAACCTCATCTCACTGCTGAAAAGATGGAGGGTCCGGTTGCTAGGAGACCGCTGCATTGAAGAATCGCCTGGGCTGAATGGTTCCTCTCCCTCTCTCTCACTCTTTTATTTTCATAGGAAGCCAGTAATGTCAATCAGATGAATGACAGGTCCCCCCCCCCCTCTCTCCAGCATTCTCTCCACGGAGGAAATCAGTACTTCAATATGTCAAATTGAATTTTTGTTCCGCATTATGTCAGTCGGAGGCCTGTGTGTGTGTGTGTGTGTGTGTGTGTGTGTGTGTGTGTGTGTGTGTGTGTGTGTGTGTGTGTGTGTGTGTGTGTGTCTGTGTGTGTGTGTGTGTGTGTGACCTCATTTCAAAAAAGTTTATTTCAACCAATATCATTTATTTTCTTTGCCATCACCCAATTGCATTAAGAAAACACAGCACAATATTTGTTGTCATCTTGTGATGGATATTAATGTTTCAGCAGATGAATATTTTTACATTACATCCCTGAAAGGCGCTTTATGTGCCGCATATGCAGAAAAAGAATTCAAAAATAAAATTGAGGAAGGGTACTGAGATCTGAGTCACAGCCAGATCTTAAATGATGTGATTTAACAAACTGGTTAATTGGGGGAAGAAATGACGTTCACTTCACACACACAGCGTGCAAAATGCAACAGTAAGGCATCACTAGAAGACAGTTTTTGGTTTATAATTGGGTCAATATTAAGCTGAGGGTACACCCCTAACCCAAAGCTTGCTGCAGCTCCTTCTTGTTCCTGTTTTTGTGTCCCTGAGCAGCGCGAGGCGTACGCTGCTGGAGGTAAGCGTCAGGGCCGCTGTGTGTCGGCGACAGGCTGTTACCGGGCGTCTCTGTGTGTGTGTGTGCCCGTCTCTGAGCTGTCACGGGGAAGAGCAGAGGAACGGCAATCCCCTGTCCAGGCTTCTGGAAAGCTGCTATCAAGTTCTTGATTTGCCGGAAATATCGCTTCTGCACTCCAGGAGTGGTCTGAAAACACACAAGAGACAGGAAAAGAGGCAGAGGGGGGAAATCAGCGTCTCCACATCAGACAGAGAGGACAGGATGGGGAGCGACTCGAAATGAGCTCTCACAGATTCACCTTGTAAAAGACATCAGAAGGTAGAGGCACACACACATGAGAGCACTGTGAGCAAGGCTTCATGAGGTATATCAAATATCTGTGATACACACTTTAAGGCAAACAAATAAGATGATGGCAAACAAATCTGTAATTGTTGTAAAAACTACTCTGGAAGCATGGAAACGACACTCACAGGGTTTCAAGCTAAATTAGGAAAGTTATGGTTGAAGTTCCCGCTCAAAGCGTTCACTCCCCTGGGCTTTTTTAACATTCAGTGAGTCCACAAAAAGCATTTATTTGTGGATGTATGTGTGACATCTAAGTGTCTTTACTGAATACAACTGACATAACACAACATTTCTCAATGAAAATAAAAAAGGTTCTTTAGAATTCATCTTCCAGTAAAACAAAAGCTGTTCTCTTTATGACCTTTTTCATTTGGCTTTAGAGAAATTCAAGTTTTGCATCTTATTGATAACCTTCATAAAGGTTCCACTTTGCACACAGCTGTCACTTGTATCTCCAAACTATAAAACATTTAAAGTATTATAATTTTGTCAAGTAAGGACTTTAAAAGCATATTTGTTTTCGTGTAATCAATCATGCTGTAGGCAAATGGTGAAAACCCTTCGGATGCATTTGGAAATCGATCAAAGTTTTCTCCAGCGAAGCACTTTGGATGTTTCTGTCTCCGGCCACAAGTGTTACCTCTGTTCCCGGGGATATTTCATTAAAGTGACTGATATTGTGCATGAATAATGTAAACTGTTATTGAGCTTGTAGTGAAATCCGTTTTATTCAAGTCCTCTCTCCCCCTATCTGTTGGCTTGATGTTGTCAGTAGAAATGAGCGGGGGGTAAAATGTAGTTACAACAGCACGCCGCTTTTAGTCGTCAGCGAGAGACAGAGCTTCAGATGTCTCCATACGATCACATCTCTGGGTGTGTGCCAAACCTCAGCGCTCAATTACATATCCCATCAGAGATCCTGTCAAATGCAATTCTACGTTTCCCCATCTCTGGGTATGCTGATGCTGTGGCGTCGTACATTGTGTGGTTTGGTGGGGGGGGGGGGTGTTATTGCTAAAGTAAAAAGAAGAACCCATTTCTCAGTGCTGTCAATCCTGGAGAAGGAAAAAAAAGCCTCATGTTTGCCTCAAATTCACAGCTTGCTGAATTAGGCTGGCACCAAAACAACCTCTAGAACTAATAAACAGCAACCGGAGCGAGGCGGATGTGCAGCTGTTTGGTGCGGAAAGAAGAGAAAGAAGAAGATAAAAATGTCTCACTTCAGCAGCCCAGGAGCCCGCGTCGTTCTTGTGGAGCCTATACGTGTACACAAATCCACTGCACCTGCACACACACACACACACATTAGCACATTTGATCATTTGATCTTTGAAAGTCATACATTTCAACATACTTGAACTTCAATTGAGTATTTTCACATTCTGCTACTTTATACTTTTACATTTTGTAGGCAAACGTTATACTCCACTACATCACATACAGATTATTAATTACTTTGCAGATTTAGGTATATTTAAAACAATATCGTAATATATTTTCATAGGTTACTGACTTTTCCCTTTCTACTTAGTGCTAGTACTTACTGTACGGTAGCATCTTCTAGATGTGGGTTATTGATACAAAATATAAACAAACTCATACATTGTGATTAAACTCAGCGTTACAAAGTGTTTTAAATAAACCCCACCTTCACCGAGTGCAACACATGACATGAGTGATGAACACATTTGTGTAATAATTATAAAACAATACTTTAATATGACTCTAAAATGAGCCACATTACAAGATGAATACTTTCACTTTCTTTAAGTATATGACCCTGTTTATGTATACTTTTGTACTTTTACTTAATTTTGAATGCAGGAACTTGTAACTTAGTATGTTCAGAGGTGGACAGTAACAAAGTAAATGTACTCAAGTGTACTAAGGTACATTTTTAAGGTATTTTGTTTAAGTTGTTCCTTTTATAGTAGTTTGTACTTCTACTCATTTTGGCAGCAATACGTGTACTTTTGAGTCCACTTCATTTATTTCACAAATATTTAGATACTAGTTAAATGTGCAGGTTTATAATATAAATACAAAGATGTATTAAACTAATACAGTTTGATTTTGGATGGAGATACCTGGCAGTACAAAAAAGTTATTATGGTATGTCATTCTTTACCAGCTGCGACATCAAAATGATAGACACATGAATGCATCACTTTGATAAACCTGTGATATAATAAAGGTCACTTTGGATTTAAGATTTGGTACTTAAGTATTTTTTTCTTCTGACACTTTTGTACGTTTACTTTTGAGTGCAGGACTTTAACTTGACTTCATCTTGAGAACAGGCATTTGCTCTACCGTCACTATTGTGATCATTACTTCTCTTATGAGACTGTCACACTTAATTGTAGGCCACCGTCTTTCAGTTAATACTTTTATTTCCTAAATGTGAGGAGATCAATACTCTCTATAATAGAAGAAAATTGGATTATGTGTTGGTGTGATTCCTTGGTAAAGAAGCAGAGATGTGTTTGTACTCAGTGGTGGAATTTAATAAAGTACATAGTACATATACATATGTACCGTACTTAAGTATTATTGTTGGCATAATCTACTTTACTTGTGTATTTCCATTGTCTCCTACTTCATACTTCTACTCCACTACATTTCAGAGACAGTATTGTATGTTTTACACCGCTACATTTATTTAGTTACTAGTAGCTTTTTATATATAAAAACACACAATCTGCTCATATGACGCGATGCATTATTAATCAATCATGTGTTACGAAGTCTCTCAAATTGGCTCCAAATTAATAAACTAGAAGATTAAAATACTTGTAAAAGTGATAAAAACAGGATACTATTCTTAAGAAAGAGCTAAACTTATATTCTACATACTTTTACTTTTGATACTCTTTAGTACACTTATGATAATAATGTACTGTTTGTAACTGAAACGGGTCATTGTGCAGAATGAGTACTTTTATTACATTTTGACAAGTACATTATTGAATTCAGGATGATTACTTTCAAACTAGTATTTCTACTTTTACTGAGTACTTTAACACCCCCTGTCTGTACTCACAGCACACACAGGCAGTAGACCTCGGGCACAGAGTCGCTGTCCCGCAGCAGGTAGCAGCCGTCCCGCCCGTCCTGCCCTAGCCTCCTCTCCCCCTCCTCCTTCCCGATGGGCCCGTGGTACACAGACATGTTCTCCATCTCCTCTACAGATCCACTACTGTATTCCTTCCTATTGCCAGCTTTCCTCTCCCTCCCTTCCTCACTTTTAACGTTCCACTGCAGGCCTTTTTTTTGCTCTTCTCGTTGTTTCCACAGGTAAGGCAGCTGTCCAGCTTCTCATTTGATATCTGCTTCTTGATGTTTCAAAATGTCCGTTTGGGAGTTCTGGTAAAAGCAGCTTTCAGTTTTTTTTCAGCGTCTAACCCAGACTGATAGCAGCTCTCTCTAACCTCTAACCTTTATGGCTTGTTGCTCTGCCTCCTCCTCCACTACACACATGTACGCACACACTGAAATGTGGGTTTGCGTATCTCTCAGGAAATGATTGTATTTTTTGCATCGACAGGAAATAACATCAAAGATTCTAACTGAATATTTCCACAACAATAGAAAGCACAAGAGAGAAGTGAAAAAGAAGCAATATCACTCTTTGCACACAGGAAAATGTGTGCAGTGCGTGTGCAGTGTGTGACCGACTCGCTTAGTTTTCCTATTTGCAGAAGGGTTCTTACACTGTCTGTTTCTAAGAATAAGGATGTGCTGAAGCGGAACAAGTGTTTTTATCTTTAACACCCACTCAGTTCATGTATTAATACATTAATAGGAAAAACTCACATACATAAAGAAGTAAAGGATATGCATTAACAATGGTATTAATGCTAAATAATAATCAGCAAAAAGTGTAAAAAGTATTTATTATGTGACTGAAGAATGATTTGTTGACAAATGTAAAGTTTTTTTTTATTATTAAACTATTTTGTTACTTAGCTTTTTGTCAAATATAAAGTAATTCAACCTCTTTGTTTTCTCAAACTGTTATTTAAATGAACCATTTGAAGAGTTTCAGTAGACCTGCTAACAAGTAATATGCCTCTAATTCTATATAAGGGGTCAAAAGGTCACAATCCAAAAATGTCAATAATAACTGGTTTAATTTTTAACAAAGCAAGGATTTACAGTGATGTAAAGTGCATTTAATCAAGTACTATGAGTTTTTACATGTTTTGCTACTTTTTACTTCTACCTCACTACAATTCAGAGGTAAATAGTATTATTTTACTCCTCTACATGTATTAATTACCTTTAGTTACTTTACAGATTTGGATTAATGATGAAAAATATAATCAACACTTAAATAAGACGTCAGTTACACCCAGTGCTTGAATTGGAATAAAAAAGGTGCCAGTACTCTAAATCAGCAACAAGTATTTGGCACAAAGTCATAGTATATCCTATAATGCTGGTGGGTTTGTCTCTTTACTGTATATTTTAGAAAGGCTCACTGTACTTAAACAAAATGACTCAGGGTGCATCTGAGATTAGAGGGGGTGCAGNTGCACCCCCTCTAATCTCAGATGCACCCTGAGTCATTTTGTTTAATTACAGTGAGCCTTTCTAAAATGTACAGTAAAGAGACAAACCCATCAGCATTATACAGTAGGATATAGGCCGCCTACTATATGACTTTGAGCCAAATTCTTGTTTTTGGGTTGTATAAATAAATTGACTTGAAACAGAAATCTGATTTAGAGCACTGGCACTTTTTTTATTCCAATTCAAGCACTGTATTTATGTATAAAAGACATCACAAAGTGCATTTTGCATGATAGGTCCCCTTTAAAGTAGCTAGTCACAGTAGGCTACCCCATGAGCTATACACGAATATAAAGTACATTATTTCTCTCTGATGTAGTGGAGTGAAAATAGAAAGTAGCCTACCTCAAAACTATAAAGTAAAGTTTGAGTATATGTAATAAGTTACTTTCTACCAGTGGCAGAATTCTTAAACTTGTGGTAAAGCTAAAAGTAATTCACAAAGATGTTACATTTCAACATGTTACATTTAAATTATATGTTATAAGGCTAAGATTTTTTACGGCAGGTATGGGAAACGTTTATCACCTGCTATATAAGATAGTGTTTAAGCATACTTCTCAGCTCCACTTTCCCCATTAGACGTCCATAGTTAACAGCACATGTTCTCAGTCACATGTCACTGCTCTGTCTTCTGTGAGACGTTTGTCGGGGACACTCACACCTGCTCTGCAGAGCGGCGAGCCAACAGCTCAGAGCTGTGTGCCTGAACATACTGCGACAAACTCCTCCTGCAATCTGTGCTGTCACTCGGAAAGTTCTGTTGTGTCAAATTAAAGATGCTGTTGTTGATTAAAATATTAAACTTGTGCAGCTTCATTTTACCGATGTGATAGCACAGCATCTGGTTGTAAAAGCTCATCATTGAGATGTGTATCATTCCTGTTTTTGATGGTCTTTATTCCCTGTATACTCCCTCCAGTGACCCTTCGGAAAGGTCAACCTTAACACTCAGTACATGCTTTGAGGCTGGCAGCTCTCTTTAAATGCAGCATTTGTTGTTTTCATGCATTCAGAACTGTATCCTACATGAGTCATCAGTCTGTGTCAGAGCCATCTTCCCTTCGGCTCAGAAAGATCATGAGCGCTGGGACTTTGGGGCTCTGTCTGGGTAAGCAGCCAGTGGCATTTTTTCAGTGCTTCTACAGCTCTTTAGCGCCATCCAGTGGCAAACGTTGGGAGGTTATGAGGGATGATGTAGGGGAGAAGGGGGTAAATTGAGCCAGTGGGTAAATTGAACCACCCCCTGTAACCAGGCAACGCCTTATAGTTGTAATCACGTGACCAGAAATTATGCAAGCTCCTCTCATTTCTCATTGCCTGTGAAAGAGAGATGCTCATTGTGGTCTGGTAAGTAAACATTTTTACAAAAAAACTTTTTTTGCTTGTCAAAGTACATTTTCTAGATGTCAGCTATATCGGCTGTCATGTCAAACAAATATTATCCAGGTTTAAACCTGGTTTAAACACATATATTTTATATGTTGATGTGTCGTATTAAACCATGTGAATCATTAAGCTAAAGATGACTCTGAATTTTAATGCTAGGCTATTTTTTCTAAAATGGTGGCTATGGGGTAAAGTGAACCATGGGCCTTGGGGTAAATTGAGACAGTTTTTCAATGGAGAAATGAATGAAAGTAGGCCAAGTTGATAATAAGAGCTAGGCTACATTTAAAGTTGTGTTTGATTGGTAAGATGTATGAAATTATATCACCATTTTTATGATTACTTCTCCTTTTAACATGTTAAAAAAAAATCAATCAATTCAATCGAAATGTAGGCTATATTAAAAATATTTGAAAAACTAAACTTGTACTTCGTTTGTTATTTATTGTTTAAAGTTACCTTTAAGATTTGTTGTAGGTCTGCCCA